CAACTGCCATACAGCCAACGAGGCCACAGTCTTGGGCTGGGGTCCCCAGCAGCCATGAGAGCCTGGGGAGATGCCCCCCAAATCAGGGTCGCCCAAAACCTTGAAGTCACTGAGGAGGGTTTGTGCCTAAGTCCATCACAGGCAAGGGCACTCACTGAGACGCCACAGCCCATCTGGCCAGAAAGTCTCGGCTCTGCTCACAGCTCCACGGACTGCCCAGGGCCACGGGGTCGCCCCACTTGGCTGCCCTGCCCACGGTTGTCCTCTCTCTGCCCCACAACAAACAAGCGTGCTGGGCCAAGCGAGAGAAGCCTGCAAACATTCGCACAATTCAAGGGAAATAAACAGGCTCTGGGTGGCCCGTGCCAGGGCTGTGGGGACAGGGACTCTGTGGCTGCAGCCCCTTCCTCCAAGTGCTTTGACTGAACCCATGAGCCTGGGACACTCAGAGCCACCAGACAGCCCATGCCCTGGGGCTCCCCATGCTGCCTCACCTGCCGTGCGCACAGGATGCTGGGCAGCCAGAGAAACCCAGCTTGGCCCCAGCTAGAGTGACCCTACCCCCAGCCTTCATGCCTCCTCCTCACAGAGTGGTGACAAGGTCCACAGGAAGAGAGACACTGGGACCTTCCCCCATCTCTGCTAGCCCCCAGGGCCCACAGGGAGGGGTGGGCACAGGTGGAGAGGAGGGCATCAGAGGTGCTGGAATCCCGAAAAGCCTGTGGGATGAGGCAGAGAAGTAAAATGCAAAGCATCTGCAGACCATGCCCGCCTCCCTCCAACCTGTGTGTCGGAGACTCTACCTCCTCAGCTTAAAAAGGGGAGCAGCCTCGTGTCACCTAGAGCTGGCAGGGACTCCCTCTCACGCATTCAGGCCTCCAGCAAGCGTCCTAAAATGCAAATGCAGGTAACTGCCAATGCCATGAAGGAGGATGGAAGGTCACTACAAATACAGGGGCCCAGCCACAGGAAGGTGACACCTAGACTGGGGCCAGGAGGTCCCAGGGCCCTAGCAGTCCCCCACCCAGGCCTTCAGCCCAAACCTCAAATCCTCATCTTCTCCTCAGCCCTGGGCTCTTGTCCCCCAGAGGCCCAAGCCTGGGGGTGAATTCAGGGGAGTGTTAAAGCCCCCAACCCCGTGACTTCCTTTTTAAAACCAACACAGAAATGACTCCTTTCCGCCAGGTTCTCAGAACATCCGAGGATAAAAGAAGTGCTCTGTCTCCCCTGGAGGGCCCAGTCCCCAAACCCCCGCCTTACCTCTGCATGCGGCCCAGCGGGGACAGCAGCATGCTGGTGGGTCCTAGGAGCTGGCACAGCAGGGCAGGTGGGTTCAGGCTCCCTGCCGGCTCCTGCCCCAGCCACAGGCTGCATGTGGCCCCTTGCAGAGTATGAATTTGATTCCCAGAGAAGCTCACCTGCCAGCTCAGGTGTGAGGCCACACCCTCCCCCCTCACCCCAATGGGAGGGATTAATACTGGGCCAAAGGAAGAACCAGCCCTTCCCTGGGCACAGGTGTGAGCTGGTTTCTTCCTCAGCCTCTCCTCCAGGCTCCCCCCCATGCCCCTGTCCACACCTGCTCTCCCTGCCCACCCCAAGGGTCAGTCGGCCTAGGGTGAGCTTGGAGGGAGCTGTGGGCAGCCTCCAGTGCCTCTGGATCCAGAACTCAGGAGGTGCAAATACTTGAGTGTGAACAAAGATAGTCAACATCTTTGAGGAGGAAAAAGGAAAGTATGAGACCAAGTTCAGAAGCTTTTCTCCCTCTCCTTTTCTTCTGAAAAGTGTGCTTTATGCCAGGAGGAAATTTACTATTTCTTACATGTTGGGCTGAAAAAAAACTTTTCTTTTCTTTTTTTAAAAAATATATTTTATGGATTTTTTACAGAGAGTAAGGGAGAGGGATAGAGAGTTAGAAACATCGATGAGAGAGAAGCATCGATCAGCTGCCTCCTGCCCCCCGCCCCACTGGGGAGGTGCCCGCAACCCAGGTACATGCCCTTGACTGGAATCGAACCTGGGACCCTTCAGTCCACAGGCCGACGCTCTATCCACTGAGTCAAACCGGTTAGGGCTGAAAAAATACTTTTCAATGAGGATACCATCATAGGAACTCAACAAAAATACTAGTAGATTTTACTGCATAAAAGCGCATTTCTTTCTTCAGGAAATAAATGAATCTCATTCAACGACAAACAACAGACAACAGACTGGGGAAATGTTTGCAGCCCTTGACCACCTGCAAAGTCCATAAAAAAAAAGCCCCGTGGCCCATTGAGGGGCTTGGACAGGACAGACAGCCATGTGGAGGAGGCCAGGCTCTGGGGGAAGCGGGGGTGGGGGGGCACCACACACCTGGTAGGACAGGCCACCACGGTGGGGCCTCCTTCTCCACCCTGGCACCCACACACACACAGAGCTCCAGGGCCGTGGCTCCGAGGGCAGAGGGTCTGCACCCCAGGACAGTCCTCGAGGGGAAGTGCACCACACACCTGGTGGGACAGGCCACCATGGTGGGGCCTCCTTCTCCACCCTGGCACACACACACACACAGAGCTCCAGGGCCGTGGCTCCGAGGGCAGAGGGTCTGCACCCCAGGACAGTCCTCGAGGGGAAGAGGATGAGGAGAAGCATGAGGCCCTGCCTCCATCCTCAGAGAGGAGCTGGAGCCAAGCACCCGGGCCTCACTTCTGAAATGGGGTGGGAGTTGAAAGGAGAAAACGCGTTTTTCACCAAGGAAAGACAGGCAGTGCGTGGACAGCACCCGCCTGGCCAGCAATCCACACAGCACAAACCAAAGGAGATTCCACTTGACCAGCAGGTTGGGGTACTGGTGTATTAGCCAGCGAGCCCCACACTCATGCTTCGTGACAAACCACCCAGAACCTCGGAGGCCCAGCAGCAGGCGTGGCCCCTCAAGCTCACGGTCTCCGGAGGTTCTGTTTCGGGTGGGGTTTGCCCTGGGCTGGAGCAGCCACCAGGACACGCTCTTTACATTGAGGATAGTGGGGAGGCCACGTGTGCATCTCATGCCCGGCAGCATCGCAGTCCTCCCATCTCACAGGCCAGCGAAGCCACACGGCCAAGCCCGAGGTCCCAGGGAAAGCCGTGAAGCCAGGGTCAGCAATGCTATAGGGCGCCTCTCAGGGGAGCGCCAAGTCCTAAGAAGCTGCTGGGTCAGGTGAGAGACAGGGACGTGCTCACTGATGGGCGGGAGGGGGCCAGGCCCAGGGCAGTCTGTGGGTGGTGCTCCCCTCCTCCAGTCCCCGCCGTGGTGCCCACCTCTCTTGTCTCCTCCCCGAGGCAGAAGCCCCAGGGTGCAGGGGACAGGGTTTCCACGGCTTTCTCAGGGCCGGCCCTCCCTGGGCCTGATGCAGGCATCAGCCTAGCTCCTCAGGGAGCCCCAGTGGGGCAAATGAGCCAGGGGAAACTGCCGTGGTTATGCTTCGAAATGCCATTCCTCTGATTCATTGGGGCACACTCAGGGCACTGGGCTGGGGAAAAGGACAATCATTCTAACAGCCAGACAGACCCAGGGCAGCCAACTGTTCACCCGTTTACAGCTGGGAAGGCGTTCCGGGTGTGGTGGTGGGGACACAAGTGCCACAGGTGGGGACATCTTGGGACCCAAATGCCGAGGCCCCATCTCCACCTGCTGGGGCCTCAGACTTTGTTGATGTTGTTACAATTGTGTACTTTCCTCCAAATTTGTTGTGTGTTTTTGTAACCCCAACCCTAACCCAACGCCTTGGTGTAGACAGTGACCACACGTCACAAGGTCAAATTTTCAGGACACTTGGTGAGGGAGCCCCAGAGAAAGGGCAGCTGTGTGAACACCTGTGAGAAGCGCCCCAGGGCCCCATCCTGAGGGAACAGGGGAACCCCAGAACCACCAGCCCTCAGGTAGTGCAGGTCCTGGGGTGTTGGCACAGTTGGTGATGGGCTGGGCCCAGGGCTTGGAGCTTGTGGAGAGAGACCGCAGCTGCATGCCGGGTCAAGGGCGAGGCCTGGGTGGAGGCCGCAGCCTCGAACCTGGTGTCCAAAGCCAAGGGCCCCCAGGAGGACCCTTGGGAGCAGCCAACAGGGGAGAGATAGGGTTAGGGGCTCAGCCTCAGCTGTTGGAGGCTTGGAGGCTGGAGAAAAGGAGGCAGCAGCTAAGGACGCCGAGGTGGGAGGATTTGCGGGTCAGCTGTCAGGTGGGTGAGGACCAAGGACTGACCACAGGGTCAGTGGGGGAAGGGGAGCCGGTGAAGGGTGATGGGGACCCAACCAGCAGCTGCTTGGTGCAGTAGGGGCTAGGGCTCCAGGAGAGGAACGGACTTCAAACCTGGCAGGCAGGGAGGGGAGCTGGGTGGCAGGGGTGGGTGGCAGGGACTTGGCCCTCCTTTGTCCTGAGCAAAGGGTGCCCCATGGAGACCATGGCTGGGAAGCAGCCATGTGCAGCCTGATTTGTACCAACGAGAACACACGCCTCTCCTGGCCAGTCCCTCTCCTGCCGCCGACCGAGGGAGACTGTGCACCCAGCAGGCCTGGCTCACTGTCTCTGAAGTACCAGCAAGCTGGGTCCTTCACCTGAGCCCCCCTCCTCACTCACACCCCACAGAGTTGAGGCTGGAGGAGGCAGGGAATGGAGGACCCGGAGCCATGCCATCCCCTTCCCGTCCTGCTATCCCCATCAAGAGCCCACCTTGGACCCCCTGAACCCCACAACCTCCCCTCCCACCCCAAACTGAGAAGTCTTGTTGGCTGTCAATGCCCCTCCTCTGACCCTCCAAGTCTGGAGGGAGGGGGAGGATAGGGAGAGGAGGGGACAGGAGGGGGCCCTTGGGTGGCCTGAGACCCCTGAGACCCCTGCAGAGGTTGGTGGGCTTGGTGATAGAATGGAGGGAGGAGCTTTCTGTGTAGCCTGCACAGAGGTACCATGTGAGGCTGATGTCTCCCTGTGCCTTCGGCCCTGGGGGGAGGGGGTCAACCCTGCATGTAGGGCGGAGACAGCCACTCACCTCCGGTGCATCCGGACCTGGGTGTCATACAGAGGAGGGGTCTGGGTGGAGCACAGCCGTGTTGCCCACCACAGGGGGTCCAGAGGGCCATGTGGACGCAGGCTCCAGGAGATGCTCAGGCCTGGCCTTCCTGGCCTCAGAAACTCTTGGTGGGTGCACAGTCCCACTTCCCTTGCCCAGAGCATTCAACTGTGGTGGGAGGCCCATCATCCCTGCTTTCCTCCGCCTATACCCTGAGGTCATGGTGCGGATACCAGCTTGGGCAGCTCTCCACCTGGACACTCCTTGCACCCTCCGCATTCCTCTCTCCGTGAAGGTCCGGGGGCTGCCTTGCTCTCCCTTTAAAGGGAACGTTCTCTTTCCACCCAGCCACCCACACCTCAGGAGTCAACACCACTCCGATCCCTTGCAGGTGCTAGGGCCCAGGGACACTCCACTCCAGTTGGGTCCCAGCTCCGGGATCCAGGCAGGAAGAGCTGAGGCCAGAGGCCCAGAGCCCTTGGCTGCCACCCAGCTCAAACAAAGCCCATGACGTGGGTTTTTTGAGGTCAGCCACCCAGGTGACCTAGGGAAGGAGAGGGAGGCCCCTGTGACCTGTGGGTCCTGACTGGAGCCCCCATGAGAGCAGGTCAGAGATGTAGAAGGAGCACGGAGAAACTACCATGCAGTCTGGGGGCAGGTGGCACCCCTGCTGCAAGAGCCAGATCAGAGGACACAGGGTCACCTCCAAGCCCACTCTGCCACCTGCTTCCTGTGCAGGGCTGCCTCCAGCCGCTCACGCTCACACCTCTGTGCCAGGTGTGTGGCCTGGATCCTGTGCGAATGGATGCCCTTTGGGGCAGACCCAAGGCAAGAGGGGAGGCCAGCCAGGCCATGTGTTTCCTCCTCCTCTGGGTGGGGGTGGCCAGAGGCAAGGGGCTGGCAGGACCCACAGGTGGGAGGGGCTCCCCCCACAGAATCAGGAGTGCACCCTCCTTGCCAGGGGAGTGAGCACCAGGACTGCCAGCTGGCCACATGCCACAGAGGACTCCTCAGGCAGCAGCCCCTCTGGGCCCTGGCTTTGACCGGAGCAAATGAACTGACCCCAAGGCCCGAGTCAGGAGTAGGGCCAGAGCCCAGCCCTCTGCCTCAGACCAGTAAGCTGGTCACCCTCAGACCCACTATGCCCCATCCCCCTCTCAGAGGGCTAATGGCTGCTGCAAACTCCGCCCAGAAACAGGGGCACTTCATCTGACCTCCAGCCACGTCCAACAGAACACCTATTTGCACATGTCTGGACCAGGGCCAGTGGGGAGGGGAGCCAGGAGACAGGCCTTACAGGGCCCGTCTGGGAAGTCCCTTTTTCATGCACCCCTTCACCAGGAGCTGTTCTAGAAACTTCCGTGACTCGCTTGTTCCCACCACCATGTGTCCTTAAGGAAGAGCTTGTCCTCCCCTAGGCCCTTGAGTCCCCTAAGTCTGAGTGACCTCCAGCTGAGGATGGTGGATGGTGTACTAGGTGGGGGTGGGGGGGTGAAGCCAGTCCTCATGGGGGTCAGAGGAGATGGTGAGGTAGCCTGGGACTGCGTCCACTGTGAGGTCTGTCACCTGTCAGTGGGGTTGAGGTCAGGGGTCAGGCACATTGCGCTGTGACCTGTCATCCCCCCCCCCCATTCCATAGAGCAGCATCCTGGTGGCTGTCCTCAGGTGCCCTGCGGGCCACAAGACCCCAAACTCTTCCCCTGAGCCCTCTAGGCCCACAATCATGGGACACCCCGAGTCCTGCGCAAACAGGAAGCCTGTCCTCAGAGACTGCTCCCTGCAGACCTGTGTGGGGCTGCCCATCCCCAGCCACATCCCGAGGTTGAGGGGCGGACTCCTTGCCCCCCACAGCCCCCCGCCCTGCTCCTGGGGCTGAGACCACTGACTCACCCTCTCCATCCCTCACCCTCTGGCTGGGGCTTCCTCACCACTCCCTGGGCCCCTCCAGGCGGATGCCTCTACGGGGGCCCCTCTTACATAACCTCTTCTCACATTGCAGTTTAGAGGTTTTAAAGCAAAAATCATAAGCTTTTCCTCATCCAAACACAATGGCCACCCCTCCACATTCAAGATTATTGAGATTGTCATCAGCAGAAGCCCCACCTGGTGGGAGCAGCTTCCGGAGGGGAGTTCTCTCTCCAGCCCTATTGGCTCAGGGTCCAGGTTCAGGGTTCAGGGCTTGGGCCCTGGGGTTCGGGGCTCGGGGATTGGAAGGCAGGTTTTGCTTTGCAGACATTCCTGACTGCTCGGCTTCCCTTCCCTGTGATGCTTTGTGCGCTCTGCTTTGATGGGCACTCCACCGGCTTTGGTGACATTCGGGGCCACAGGGAGCGAGTTCCCCGAGGGCACATGGGCCCAGGGGGTCTGCAGCGGCGTCCAGCCGTTTAGTCAGACTTTCCTGTTGGTTCCAACAGGATTTTCTGGGTGTGTGAAAATGACAGTGGGGAGGGCACGTATTGAGAACATAGCCACAGTTGTTTCATAATTATCCACCCTACTAAGCAAAGATAAGTTTCCTTACAGCCCCAGGGAAACTGGAGGATGAAACAAGGCTGTAAAAAGATAAGATGCCTCTGCCCGGCTGGTCAGATTCCTGGTCAAGGCACATGCCTGGGCCCAGGTTTCAGGCTTGATCCACAGGGGGCAGGGGGGGGGGGTGCGTGCAGGAGGCAGCTGGCTCCCCCGACCCGGATCTCTGAATCAGCTTGTCACCTGGTTTGTCCTGTTTTGTTTCTAAAGTGTACATGCACTTAGCCAAAAAAAAAAGTGCAAGGCATCCAAAAATTACAAAAAATCAATCTCCTACCCCGACAGCCGGGCGCCCTCCCCAAAGTGAGCCCAGCTACAGTCTCAACACACCGGAAGGTTCTGTGTGCAACCAGCTTCCTCAAGCTGATGTTCTCTCTTGGGAGCAGGTGGCTGCCCCTTCTCCCCCTTCTTGCTGTCCCTCTGTCTCGGGGTCTCAGAGGCACACGTCACCTCCTTTTCTAAAAGGCCAGCCCCCACCTGTCCAGCAACGGATGCCAGGTGCAGACAGTGCTCTGTGCTTCACCTGAGGACAAGCCTGTGTGTGTGTGGTATGTGTATGTTATGTGGGCCTGTGTGAACCATGTCTGTGTACACTGTGTCTGTGCATGTGTACAAGTATGTACTGCATACATGTATAGACCTGTGCACAGGTGGATTCTGTAGTGTGACCCCAGGAGTGAACTGCACGGCACTTCACATTTTGACATTTTGGGGACCAGCTTGTGTCCCAGGGAAATGGAGGATCCTCCAACACTTGCTCCCAGAACCCCTGGGCCACCTTCGCAAAGACCTGCTGCTACTCTAGCAGAAAATGCCTCAAAATTCTTAGCCTTTTAATATTTCATGCATTATTTGAATTCTCCAAAATAAACTTGCTTAGTCATAAAACTATAATTGAGAGTCACTGCACACATGAACTGACGGTGGGAAAACCACCTGAACCTCAGCCTCAGGGGCCCCATGAGGCAGGGCTCTAAGCCTCAGGGTGGGGCAGGGGCGGAGATGCGGACAGGACAGGGTCTAGGGAGGGGGCAGCCACTCCCAGAGGTAGTCAGGCCCAGTCTCTCTGGTAGTCCCCAGTATTCGGTGCTTAGGGAACACGGCACACAGGCACTTCACCATGGGCTTTTAGGAGATTATTTCTCTAATAACAAAAGCAAGGAAGTGTCCTGAATAATTCCGTTTTTACTGGAAGTTCACGACAGCCAGAAAGAGAAAACGTGCCCCACTTCCCAGACTGTCTCCACAGCCCTAGCAGCTGCCCGGGCCACCGGTCAGCAGAGACAACCGAGTTAGGGTCACTGAAGAAGCAGGAACACAAGAGGGCTGTGTGTAGTGAGAATGTACTAGTACGTGTGCCTGCGGGGGCTTCATCGCGGCACGGCCCACCTGCGTGGACTCATCACAGTAGACTGCCAAGTGTGAGAAACGAACACCTGAGCTCTGACAACTGTTGAGGGAAAGGACACATTCCAGGGCCCAGCAGTCACCCATTCCACGTCCCGGTAAAGCACCTGGTGAGCCAGGCTCTGGTGGTCAGAGCCCTGGAGGGACGGATGCTCTGGGCTATTGACATGGAGTTGATCACCGCTGCCCTGACCGAGTGGCTTGCACAGCCTGGGCCGGGGGTGGGGGGAAGAAGGGGAAGCAGGACCACAATGCTCCTCCCAGGGCTTCGGCTCTCAAGCAAGGCTGGTGCCACCTGGTCTATTTCTGAGTGGGCAGAACCGTTCATACCCGATCCATCCAGGACATGCCGGCAGGAGACACCACTCCCTACCTGTGCAGGGACATGAGGTGTCTCCTTATAGGCCAGGCAGCGTGGCCAGGGCAGCACATAGCCGCTCTCTCCTCTCTGCTCACACTATGTAACCTGCGGAGCCACCAGAGGAATCCTGCCCTAGAGTGAGTCCCAGCTCCTCAGAGCCAGCTCCCAACCCTCCAACCAGGGGCTCTATGGGATGGAGGCCTGAGCCCACGCCAGCCCTGTGCACCCATCCCAATGGGCAAAACCAGGACTGGACGAAGGCCACTCCTGCTGACCCCAATGCCTTGTCAGGCCTGGGTGGGCAACGTCTTGTAGGGGTTCAGGATGCCCTTAGGGTCCAGGAGGGTCTTGAGCTGCTGCATGAGCCGCAGGGCTTCAGGCGGCTTGCTGTAACCAAGGACGCTCTGCTTCTTGAAGCCGACACCGTGCTCCGCGCTGACGCTGCCCCGCTGCCCCGCTGTCCACTCGTACACGTAGGGCTCCAGGTCACCCAGCAGCGACGGGCTGAAGGCCTCTGCTGTTACATTGAGGTGCAGGTTGCCATCCCCTGGAGGGACAGGGAACCATGGGTCAGGCTGGGCAGGGCCCCCAAGAGCCCTGTCCTCTCCACCTCTTAAGCCCCCTCCCAGAGAGCCCCTTCCCGCCCTCTGTCTGGTTCCAGCCCTTCAAGCCACCAGCCACTGACCTGCAGTGACAGAAGCAGCCTCTTCAGGGGGCCCCAGCTCCCTTGGCTTTTGCTCACTTCTCTCGCCAGTTCTCCCCGACCTGCTCCTCCCTCCATCAGCTCAACATCTTCAAGGGCTCCCAACGGAGAGCCCTGGAATCTGATCACACTGATGGCTGTCACCGGACTCACGTCTCCAACAACGCCCAGTATGACCCCATCCCCACCAGACACCTCCACGGACACCATGGGGGCCTCCCCCACCCCCAGGGTGCCCCCTCTGAGGCTGCCTAGCCAACACCCACCACAAACAAAGTCCTGGATCCCCACCTGCCTCCTCTCAGGTCCACCTGGCTCCCTGTTGCTCTCAATGAGACCCCCTGGGCCCTGGCTTTCCAGAACTGTCCAAACA